AGGGGAACGACAGCAGAGAGGACGACTTGGGGAGAGAAAATCAAAAAACCAAACCCGTTGTCATTGTGTTAGCCCAACTCATAGCGAGCCTATAGGACAGACTAGAACTGCCCCATAGGGTTTCCAAGGCTGTAAATCTTTACAGAAGCAGACTGCCACACCTTTCTCCTGCAGAGCTGCTGGTGGGTTCGAACTGCCAACCTTCTGGCTACTGCTGAGCACTTAACCATTTAATCTAAATGCTTGCAGTTTTAAAATAAATCTTTCAAGTAAATTTTTACCCTGGTTTATTATACAATTTCCCTTATTCATATCTATCCATACTGTATAACAACTCTTATAGAAAAAGAAGTTAAATAAGGTATCTCTTTCAAGGACAAATTATGATATATATAAATGTGAAGTCTGAACAGAGTAACTATAGTGTGTAATTTTAAAACTGTCATATTATTAAACATCAACAGGTTGATACAACATCTGTTCTGCAATTTTTTCACCCAAGTTGTTATGGTAACCAAAATATGTGGTATATGTGTTTCTTAAATTTAACCAATTATTTCAAGTAAATAAAATTATATTAGCTTATTAACTACAAATATTATTCTTACTACAAACTTGTATTTATCCTTTTCAAATACTAATAGATCATATTATACTTAGGATTATATTTAACTAGGCATTTATACATGCTTTATCTTGGAATCCACATTTAAAAAAATAGCAAGCATATATATTCTTTCTAATTTGGGGTGTTTTCTTGATTTAAAAACAAAAGAAAAAAGGAAATAGTACATTTTCTGAACAATATACACCTACTCCTCACTATCAACATGGTCAGGTTCCAAATACCAGGTTGTTATGCAAAGACTGGTGTTATGTGAAAATGGAGGATGACCACATCAGATCACAAAATGGAGGATAATTACATCATTACATAACTCAAATTACATCATTACATAAGTGCCTAATTACATCCTTGTAACTGTTGCCCAGACAAGTTGACACATAATCCTAACCATCACAGCCAGCATGACTCTTGCCTTGCCACCTCAGCGTTCGTTACTGCCAGACGTGTGTCGTTAATGTGCAAAATAGTCGGATGGATTTTCTACTGTTGTGGTAAATGTAAAATGTCAGATAATGAGATAGTAAGTGACGAGTAGGTGTACTATATTAAATACTCCAAAATTATATGACTGTACTGCTTTGTAGGAGCTGTCAATCACATTCTTTTAAAACACAAGTCAGATCCTGTCACTCTACCCCTCTGCTCAAAACCCTCACTGGCATCCCATTTCTGAGCAAAAACCAAAGTCGTTACAGGGGCTACAAGGCCCCCCAACCCCATGTTCCCCTTGCTCACCTCACTCCAGCCACTAGGATTTCCTTGCTGTTTCTAAAGTATACCAGGTTCACGCCTGTCACAGGGTCTTGTACTTACTATTCCCTCTCTCTGGAAAGCTCTTCCCTTGTATAGCCATATAGCTTATGCCTTCATTTATTTCAAGTCTTTGTTCACATATCATTTTCTCAGTGAAATCTTCTCTGATCAACCCTATTTTAAACTGCTAGTCCAGCACCCCTCCCCCATCTTTGCTTACACATCACCTGTCCCTCTTAGCTCCTCCTTTGTTTTTCTCCCTAATACTTATTACTTACTGTTATACTAAATATTAGTGATCTATTCTGTATATTACTAATTTACTGTAATCATTGTCTCCCCTTCAGAATAAGCTGAAGGAGGGCAGAGATTTTTATCTATTTTGTTCACAGCACCTACAACACCTACAAGATGACACAGAACAGGTGATCAATGAACAGTTGTTGAGTGCATAAAATATAAATGAAAAACATCGTAAATGTTGACATGCTATGGTAAGAGAGAATATGTTTTGTGATGATATTCAAGGAATCGAGGAAGAAGTAAAGATAAGCAATCTTCAATAAGTCAAATTAAAACATCAGTTATCAAAATTTGTGTTCTTATCATAGAACCACAGAATCTTGATTTCTTGGTTCTGCTATGAATCTGATCCATTACAGGCTCTGTCTTTCTCCTATCAATTAAAATGTGGAAACCAACTAACACTGTTACTCTGTCCTGGATCTTGTTCTCTACTTATTTCCTGGGTAAACTCACCCACTCTTATCTTATCACCTCTTTTTGAGCAACTGAAATTCTCATCTCTGGCCTAGACTTATCTGTGCTCTGGTGCTGTATTTCCAACTACCTTTGCCAAACACATCACTTCAGACATATTGTCAAGGCAGTCAAAGAACAAGAGCCTTAGGTAGAATATAACATTATACTCTCTTCAGTTTAAAAAAAAAAAAAAATTAGTCTTTAGTAGTAAAAAGACTCACATAATTCTATACATTGCCTAAGGACTCAACTTCTTTCATTATAAAAATTAGACCTATGATAGGGAATTCCAATTTCTGAGTTATGACTGTGTATTCTAATTAACAATATCAGTTTCACTTCAATCACTGAATTATTCCCAATATTGTAATAGAGTTTTATCACTTTCAAATGGAATTTAATCACCTGGGGGGAGAAATGTAAGAAATTATATGAGGTGTTCAAATTAAGTTTTTGAACCAGCATAGTTTATTTTTAGAAGGAAAATAACTTCAGTATTTTTCTTCATCATCAACTCCCAAATAACATGTTTCTCCAATCATTTTTCTTCATACTCACTAATCAATTATTTTAAAAACTTCTTGAAAGCATCTTTTTTTTTTTTTTAATTACCTTCTGAAGATCCTAAGCAATCTGATAATGACTATTCAGAATTTAGGAAATAATTCAGATGAAAGTTGGCTAGTGGAATTCATCATCCAGTTCAAACAAACCATACACTTTTAGAATTTCACTCAGCGAAAACAAAAGGAAAGGAATTCCAAGAGAAAAATGTGGGGTTATCATGGCTTTTGAGGAGTTAAAGCCTCCCAGGGTGAGGAAAAGGTCCCTGGGCCTTGGGTCCCACTAATGAGTACAAATCAGTTACTGAGGAGACACATAATGTCCTAGTCCTATACTGCTCTTTTAAGAAGGATTACTATACATTGTATCAAGTAAATGTCACTATTTCTTTCTCAAGTATTTTTTCCTTCAAGTTAAGAGTACAGTGAAATATACTTAGGGTAGGTATTAAGAACGCATATCTGTTGTTCGTAATGCAGATGAAAGACACAAAGAATATCCAAACTATCAACAAATCCTGTCACCACCCCTCTCAAAACATATCCAGAATTTCACCACTTCTCTCGTTCTCTTCTGCTACCAGGTTGGTCTAAGCCATCATTATTTCTTACCAAGATTATTGCAAAAGCCTCTTAAATAGCCTCCCTGATTCCATCCACTCTTGCTCCACTACAGTCTGATCTCCACACAGCAGCCCCAGTGATCACTATGAAACATGAAATAGAGTAAGTTACTCCTCTGCTCAAAACCCTCTACTAGCTTCTCATATTACCTGAAGTAAAATTCATCATTATAATGGCTTAGAAGATCCTTCATGGTCTGGTCCCTCTACACCTCTTTGAACTCATCTTGAACATTCTCTTCCTCTCTCACTCCATTCAGACTCAATGTCTGCCTTGCTATTCCCTGAACACACCAAACATACTCTCACTTTAGGTCCTGTGCACTTGCTGCTTCCTCAGCCTGAACAGCTCTTCCTCCAGATATACACAAGACTTGCTCGTCTGCTTCCTTCCAGATTCTGCTCAGTGAGGCTTTCTTTGACAATGCCGCATAGTATAGTACCCCTTCTCTACTGCCCAGCCTCCTCAGCTCCCTGCTTATTTTTCCCAAAGTGCTTATTATCATTTGACATAGTACATATTTACTTATTATTTGCATTACCTAACTAGAGTGTTATCTATATTACGTAAGACAGCAGAGACATTTTGTTCCTTGATCACAAGCAAAAGAACACAAAATAGTACATTATCAATGAATATCAATAAATATTGATCAAATGAATGAATGAATAACTCTTGTGCTTGTTTCTTATACCAAACTGAATGTAGACTCTTTCTTCAAACCACATACCACTATATTTCTGTTTCCCTTATAATGAATCATATTCCTTGTTGTATTAGTGATTATTCTGTACTTATCTTAACACCCTGCTGATATCAACAACCATGACTTATTTGAAGTTATACTGAATGATACTTCTACAAATACACCTGGACATGCTGTGTAATCCTTTACCAAATAGCCCAGTACCAATTTTTAAATTTCAAGGGTATGTTTTGCTTTCGTAACCAAAAGTGAGACAAAAGAGTGCATGTAGTATGACTTGGACAAGTCTGACATTCATTTTGCACTGAGATGGGAACCACAGAAAAAGTTTTGAATGATGTTAACAAATTAAAAGATTTTTAGCAGATTGAAAACTACTCAGGAAAAAGCTGCCTCAGCTTGATGTATTAATGAATTCTACAAAAAGAGAGCCAGATAGCATATGTTTCACTATATCTTTATGAAGAAATAAATAGCCATAAAGCAAACTGATATGAAGTGATGTTTTCTAAGAAAATAAATTCAAGCATCACTACAGGGATTAATACCCATTTGACTCATATCTTTTGCACAGTTCATTGATACTTTAAACAATAAGCTTAATCACTAAAAAAAAAGATTAAATTATGATATGTTGAAAAAAACAATATGCCTTCTTTGTTTAAGAAAGAGGCAGGAAGAGTTTTAGACTTTCATCAAATCAGCTAAAATTAAAGGTATGATACCTAAAAGGGTTAAACTTTCACCATCAAGAAAAGTTAACTATACACAGCAATTTCTTCCCCAAGACTGGTGGACAAGCAAGGTTTTATTTTTCAGTCAAATCCTTTGAAAACTGGTAATTAATAATTCCAGTAATCAAAATACTTGACAGACTAGAACTCTTTCTAAGCATAAGAAATAACAGAATTAAAATCAATGATGCAGTAAACACGATTTCTTGCCTTCTATAGTGTTAGCTCACCTGAGGTATAAGTCTATCCAAGTGCTCAGCTCGATTTTCGTGAGAAGGGTGTGTGGATAACCATTCTGGCAACTTGGGGTGACCATACAGTCTATCTGCAAACTCCATCTGCTGCCAAAATACTGAACTGGCTCTGACATCCACACAAGCCTAAAATCAAAGTTAATAAAAGCACAAAATGAGTTTAATAATGAAGACATTTTTTAAAGTTTACCCTTATGTCACTAAAACCAGACCAGTTGCTGTTGAATAGATTCTGACTCGTGTTGACCCCTGTGTGTCAGAGTAGAACTGTGCTCCATAGGGTTTTCAGTGCTTGATTTTTCTGAGGCAGATCGCCAGATCTTTCTTCCGAGGCACCTCTGGGTGGACTCAAAACTCCAACCTTTCAGTTAGTAGTTGAGCTGTTAACCATTTGCACCACCCAGAGACTCCTTTATGTCACTACTTGTTTTAAAAACATTTTCTAACATTATTTTAATAAAAGTAGCATTTTCTCATTGCTTAAAAGAAAACTTAAATTAATATATGGTATTGTAGAACAAAAACAGAGAACGACAACCCTCCCTAACTTTCCTGCCCATGACACAACATATACAATATCCCACTCCCCAAACATAACCAACTATTTTCAGTTTGATGGACATTAAGAAAATGTATTGAGGGCAAAAATGTTTCACACAAATTAAAAATTTCTGTTTTAATAAAAATAAGGTTTTAAAGTGTAATCTATTATCAAACTCCATTGAAGAAATTTTATTCCAAATCTAAACCACAGATTAATTAGGGAGAAGACCTCAAATAAACATGAAGAAAAAAGACAGCTGTATTTTAATATATACATCAATTTATCCACTTTTCCTCAATGTACATGCTAAAAAATATAATACATGATTCAAAATGCCTTATAAAAGTATTAGTTTTTTTTAAAAAAAAAAAGGATATACAGCTGTTTATATAGCTGTGTCTTGTGTATATGCATGTACAATTCCATATACACACTCATGCATATGCCCAAACACATATACTTGTACCTGCATAAAACATTTCTGGAAGGCTATTCAACAAAACTGCTAACAGTGACCATCCTAAAAGTGTAACTAGGGTGTTTGATGAGGAAGAAGCAACAGACTTTTACTTCCAAAGTAAAGTAAAACATACATTTTTATAATAAAAATTATTTTAAAATCCTACAGAAGATGATTTAAAAATATTATTATAAGCATGTTTAATTTATTTACATACTTAAGTTAGTCTAACTTCCATAAAAAGTGACTGGGATTTTATTTCCCAACTATTTTGCTTTTGACTAAAATTATTAAGAAAAAAATACACTGTATTGATTAAAATGTGCTATCAAAAAGCCTTAAAACAGTGCAATCGTGACACCCAAAAAGGCAAATGTAGGACATTACATGCAGATATAGCTAGTCAACATCCATGCTACACCTCTTCTTAATGAACACCAGTAAAACAATTCCAAATGTTGGGAAAATGAAGAGGAAAAAATGATATGAAATTGAATTAAATTTTATTCAATATCTACAAGCAATATAATTCTTTAACACCTTTGTGTACTCCAAGTTGAAAAGAAACTAAAGTTCTTTGTCCTATTGCACATATATGTATACACATTTACATAATGTGTGCAAACAGAAATAAAAGATAAAGGTATATAACAAACGCATAAGTATGTGATCCATGTATACACACACACGCACACACACACGAAGGTCTGTATATGTGTAAGATATGTGTGCAGTATATGTGTGTACTTATGTGTAAAACATATGTGTAACACAGACATCACAGAAATGATTATTTGATGCTCAATTCTAAATACCCACAGGAAGAAATATGTCCCTCATTAGCAAGTTGAAACATTCACAATATAAATACAAATTAAGACAAGCAAGTATGCTTTTAAAATAATTTATAAAAATAAAAAATAAGTCAAAAGAATTCTAACAGAAATCATATTTTTAAAACACCATCCATCCAGCAGAGTTTAAAAAAAAAACTCTGATAATTGAAAAATAAATATTTCAGTAAATACAAATTCATGAATTATCTCACTATATGCTTATCAAAAATATATTTATCTGATATTTCTTTAGCTTAAAATTGTTAATTAAAAGACAAGTAAAATATTTCCCTGTTCAATCTCTAAGAAATACAGCTGAAGGCAAACTTTAAAGCAATATTTGATATGTAGAAATAGATGGAGAAATTCATCATCCCAACAGATAAAATGTAAAGTATTCCAAAAGGACTTGAGACATCCACTTTCACAGTAAGATAAAGGTGTCTTTGTTTGTCTACACTTCCTAAATCCAGTTCAAAGACCCAGTAAAGTCAGATAATTTTGAAAACGAATGTTTTATTTATATTGTTCCGACTTATGAAAAATATGTAACAATCACAGACCAAACATGAAAATATTTTTAGAAAATATATTCAGCATATCACAAGCCTACATTACTTGTCTCAATAAAAAATATGGTACAGTAAGAACTTTGTATTTATCAAGTATCCGGAAGTACATAAAGGAAGGAAGGACGGGATTGTTTCTAGATAACCTTTCCTTCTTAAAGCAGAACTCAAAATAGCCACAGGTGGCTAGGGAATATAAGATATGTGTTAGTAAAATATATTGGTCCTGGAATACTTTCTGAGGCACTATACTGGGATAATGGAAAGAGCATAGACTTTAGAACCAGGAAGACCTGGGTTCAAAATACCAGTTATTTATTTTACTTAATTAACAATCTTATATGACATTTACTATATGCTAGGCACTGTTCTAAGTGTGTTTCAAACATTAACTCATCATATTAACTCATTTAATCCTCATAACAATCTCATGAGGTAAGTACGATTATTATCCTTATTTTACAGACCAGGAAATCAAGGCCTGGAAAGGTTAAGTAATTTACCGAATGTCACATAGCTAGTTAAGTCACAGAGCCAGGACTGGAACCTAGGATTTGAACATTGCTCTTGAGTTTTTGACACTGGGCCAATAATTCAGTCTCCCTGAGTTTCAGATCTCTTATCTGTGAAAACGAAACGAAAGCACTGGATCATCAGGATTAAATATGATACCTTTTGTAAAGCAGTCATCCCAGAACTCAACACATAGGACACTATTTCTACTCTTCTTTCCCCTAGTGAACAACCAGAAGCCTGTGATTATTGCAGGATGCTATATTTGGTCATAAGTGATAACGTCATGATTTTACAAGTAAAGAAGGATTTCACTTAATTCAGCCTATAATATCAATATGCATAAATTTGCATTAAGGGACCTATTAATTGACAAAGAATTTGCTACTACTCAAAATAGAAACTCAGTGTGGGATATGATTATCATAAAGAGTACAGTAATATAAACTAGCATCCAAAAGCTCTCCTTATAATTTGAACGTTTCCCAATGCTAAAATAATGCCACAGAAAAATTTATAAATAAATGTTGTTGTTGTTAGGTGCCGTCAAGTCCGACTCATAGTGACCCTATGTACAACAGAACAAAACACTGCAATTATGTCTTACCTGCAGCCAAAATTTTCAGTAGAAATACAAAGATAAAAAGTATCTCTGAATTTTGCTGTTTCTTAGACTCTCCAACAGAACTCCTGCCAGCCATTACCCAGTCCAAGAGGTAAATTCTGACATTAGCAGTTCTAAATCTTTTTCTGGAATGACATTAACACCCTACACTGGTCCCAGTCATTCTGGCATCCTCTTCTATACTCCACGTAGGCATGTGGTAGGTAAAATAATCATCTGAGATAGTACTACAAATGACTGTTTCAAGAGGGTGGTTGGACTCCTAGAGCTAGAATACACTGAGTCTATTGTAAGATGAGATTTAAATGGATCAAAGCAGATGTTAAAATACTAGGGTCAATTACTTTAGGGTCAATACTACAAAAGACCAGAACTGTTTCTAGCAGGTTAAAATATGATAGAAAGTTTCATTTCAGAAATGAATGTACCTCTGCCTTTGGAGGGGAAACCTTAATATCTGTGAGACCTCTGACAAGTTAACTTAATTTCTCTATTACTCAATTTTTTTTTAATCTATAAAATGAGGATAATAGTAGTACCTTTATCTCACAGGGTTGCTGTGAAGATTAAAAGAGTTAGCACATGCATAACACTGAACAGTTTCTAGCAGGTGAAAAAGTGTTAGCTATTATTATCACCATTGTTGTCAAAATCAGCATAGTGTTATCAGCACCACGTCACCATTATCATCATATTCTACCCAGAAACTAGTTCATTTCACTTTCACAAACTTTAATAGGTTCATCATTTTCCCAATACTGCTGATGGCATCATTTATTAAAACTCACTTTATTTTGTGACTCATTTCTTCTCTAAACATTTTTCTAGTCAATCCTTAGAAACTTCTCTTTTCCAACTGAACGTGACAGTCTCAAGATGGTTTCAGCTAAACCATCCTCAACATTTGCGAATCTCTCATAAAAGAATAAAAAAACAAACCACAACAACAAAAAACCCTCCTGATTTATCAAAAATAGTTTATGTGCCCCAATATAGAGGAGAAATGGGAGACTTACGTTATTTGGTAGGTTTAATGTTTTTTGCCCAAGTTCTTGCATCTTTTGATTGTCAGCATGTCAACTCATCAATCAATACAATAAATTAAGTTTTAAATAAATTTTCATGTATTTTTTTTTCTTAGGTGATGTTTTATCATAAGACTAAACATTTAGCCCTCGTTATCATAGTAATTAAAAAATTAAATGAATACACATACAGAAAAGTCTGTCAAATTTCTGCAGGTGATACAATCAGGCCAAAGTAAGATGTTATTCATGATCTATGTATTATGAAAGTTTATCACACATCTATTAAAATCAGATGCACTCATTTGCTGTTTTTACCTTCTTAATTGAATCTCTAAGCAAAGAATCTAAGGCATTAACCCAAATAAAACACACAGGTTGTCAGCTTACTGTAACGAAAGCTCAGAATACTAACAAGGAAGACTCTGAGATCTGGTTCTAGGCCAGGCTCTGCTACTAACTATATACATATATGTTATTGGACAAATCACTGCACCTCTCTGGAACTCAGTTTCCTTCTCTGTAAAAGGAGAAGATGGATCAAATTATATCCA